CCCCCCGCCATTCTTTTATTCTTCAAGCTGCACAAAGCGAGGGCTACTAAAGCATGCTTGGAAGAGTTTGTGTGCAAGAAAATCACTCCCAGCCCCCCCGTTACATAAAGTCTTCCCCGAAGAGTGACAAGGAGACAGGGCAACTCCATGTGTCTTTCTTGGTATCCTGATACTTTAGTCCGTATCGTCTGGTTTGAATCTCTACTGAATGTTTGGGATGAAGCACATTAACTCAAAATATCTTTTGTTTTGCCCCCCCCCCGCTTCCCCTGCTCCCGGCAGACAAAGACGAGCCATCCAGCTACATCTGCACGAGCTGCAAGCAGACCTTCACCAGCGCCTGGTTCCTCCTCCAGCACGCCCAGCACACTCACGGAATCCGCATCTACCTGGACAACCAGCTGACCAACTGCTCGCTCACCCCACGCATGGCTCTGCCGCCCCCGCCGGGCGCCGACGCCCTCCCCCGCTCGCCGCTGCCCACCTTCCTGGGCGACACCAACAACCCCTTCCACCTCCTGCGTATGGCCGCACCCTTGCTCAGGGAACACCCGCCGCCGCCGGGCTTCATGGAGACCCGGCTGCCGGCCACCCCGCCCTTTGTGAGCCCGCCGCCCCCTCCCAGGCCCCCACTGGAGCGGCTGGGTCCAGAAGAGATGGGGCTGCTCTCCCAGCATCCCAGTGCCTTCGAGCGGGTGATGCGCCTGACGCCCATGGAGCCCCCGTCCATGGACTTCTCTCGGCGTCTGAGGGAGCTGGCGGGCAACACCAACAACAACGGAGGGCCCACGCCCCCCCTGTCGCCCAACCGCGTCCCCCCCATGCACCGCCTGCTAAGTCCCACGCTCTTCCAGCCGGGCTCCAAGCCGCCGGCCTTTCTCACCTACGGCCCGCAGCCGCCCGCTCCGCAGGGCGGGCACGGTTCCTCCAGTCCCCCGGACACGCAGTCGGCGGGGAAATCCAAATCCTGCGAATTCTGCGGCAAGATTTTCAAATTCCAGAGCAACCTGATCGTGCACCGCCGCAGCCACACCGGAGAGAGGCCGTACAAGTGCCACCTGTGCGACCACGCCTGCTCCCAAGCCAGCAAGCTCAAGAGGCACATGAAGACGCACATGCACAACAAGTCCGGCTCCATGGGCGGATCCCCTGAGGCGGACAACCGAGGGGACGGAGGAGAGGGCGAAGACAAGCTCCGGGAGGCCGACGGAAGGGTCGTGGGGATGGACAACGAGGAGGAGGAGGAAGAGGAGGAGGAGGAAGAGGAGGAAGAAGAGGAGGAGGAAGAGCTGAGGAACGGGAGTCGGCCAGATTCCAACCTAAGCGAAGACTCTCAAGAGTTCAACCCCAACCGGGAAAATGGGCCCAGGCAGTCTCCCAAGGAGAAGCACCTGGGCGGGGAGCGAGTAGGCGAGAGCGGCGGGGTGGGCAT